CTGAGTTCAAGCCCCAGGACTGGGGTAGGGGGGAAGAAAAGAATAAAATAGGGTCAGATGCCCAATTCTTGTAAGTCCAATTTGGAAAAGTGACCCTTTGTATTATTTTAACTAAGGCATATCCTACTTTACTGTTTTAATATAAAGAAAAATAATTAGGGAGCCAATCAAAAAAGACCAAGTTGCTTATAAGGAAGGAAGTTTTCCAGTTTCAGAATTCTCTATGGCTGCCTTCAAGGTCAGAAGACAGTAGAAAAATGCTCATACAAACGAAAGGAAATCAAATATGTCAGATTTTAGACCCAGTAAGACTGTTCTTCAAAAAAGCCAAATAGTTTTGAAAATGTGTGACCTTCATAAGAAAGTGACTGGGGAATGGAGCTCAAGCAACCCAGACACAGCACAAGTGGCTGCTGGCAGTGCATGTGTTTAAGCAAAGAATGAGGACTGAGGGGAAATGGAGATTAGGTCAAAAAACAGAACACGAAAGCCTGGTGCTCCATCAATGCAAACGCAAAGAGAAACCAAGAACAGGAGGAAGGAGGAAGAGGAGAACAGTTTGCAGACTGCCTTATTTGTAGTAGTTGGGGAGTATAGAATATCAGTTAGGGATAGGGGGTGTGGCTCAGATGGTAGAACACCTGCCTAGCAAGCACAAGGTCTTGAGTTCAAACACCAGCACTGCCAAGAAAAAAAAATCAGATAAAGTTACCATTTATATATGTATATATATTTACAATTCCAAATAATTGGAAAATAATTATATTTACTAGCCACAGGGGTGAACACTAAGTAATGATGTTATTTAAATTTGCTTTCAGGTCAAAGGGGGAATATAATCCAGAATTACAAATTCAAGAGCAAACAACCTAATGACATGCTTGCATATCAGAAGCTCTAAAATGCTACCTTAAATGCTCCTTTTCTAAAGCATTTTCCTTAAGTGCTTAAGAAAGATCTTGAATATTTGTATTAATTAAAAGTAAAGAATTTAACTCAAAGAGTGTGGAGAATGAAAATGAAAAACATGGAATCAGAAGAAAAATCTGTTGTACTAGGTTTGAACTCAGGGTCTCACACTTGCTCAGCTGGTGCTATACCATTGAGTCACATCTCTAGCATAACATTTTAATAGTTATTTTGGAGATGTAGAGTGGATTTCCCCCCCAAGCTGGCCTTGAGCTGCCATTCTCCAGATGTCAGCCTCCTGAGCAGCCAGCATTAGCGGCATGAGCTGCAAGAGCTTAGATCAGCAGAAGATTTTTTAAATAAAAATTGAAATTATTTGTAAGACCAAGATGAAAATAATAGAAGTGCAACTCAAATGTAAAAGAAGAGTTCTGAAAGATAAAAATTCAGTAAGACATATAAGCCAATAGCTAACCTAATTAAGAATAACAAAGATAGAATTAAAAGGGGCATAAGACATGAGTTTGTCCAATTCTAACTGTTAATCTGCAGTAGATTTTAAATGTAGATATACTAAAAACAAATCCATGGAAATTAAATTTGGTAAAATTAACCCCCAGAATGGCTGGCTGTTTTTTTTTTTTTAATCTATGGGATAAATAGAGAAAGTTACTAAAGAGCTACCCCTTCCCATGGGGGCGGGGAGGGACAGAGAATCACTAGGCCTGAACATGATAATTCCACAAATGTAGTGGTTTTTTTCCCCCAGAGCTGATGGTGAAAAGAAAACAAACAATGAAAACAAAAATGTACAAAAACCACTTTCATTTTTTTCTAAAAGTATTGTATGTGCTATTATGTAGAGCCAATATCATTCATGAAATAAAATCATACACTTCTAAGTAAAATAGTAACATATGAAATCCAGCAATACACAAAAAGAATGATGTAATAGACCTTATTTCAGAAATGTAAGAGTGATTTGTTATTATGAATTCTATGAATGAAATTTGTCACATTGAGGATGTCAGTAAAAGTATTTATGTCATTTCCAGAGATGCTGACAAGGCACTGGATGTGATTCAGCAACCATCACTGATAAAAACAAAATATGAGGAGCAGAATGCTTCCTTTGTAGGTTGAAGTAAACTTCATCCCTGCAGCCAGCACCATGCTTAAAACAAGCCCACAGAGGACACATCCTCATTATACCACAGACAAGCACATGAAGCACAATCCACATTATACCACAGACAAGCCCACAGAGGACACATCCACATTATACCACAGACAAGCCCACAAAGTATACACATCCACATTATACCACAGACAAGCCCACAAAGTATACACATCCACATTATACCACAGACAAGCACATGAAGTACATTCCACATTATACCACAGAAAAGCCCACAGAGTACACATCCACAGAGTACACATCCACATTATACCACAGACAAGCCCACGAAGTATAAACATCCACATTATACCACAGACAAGCCCACAGAGGACACATCCTCATTATACCACAGACAAGCACATGAAGTACAATCCACATTATACCACAGACAAGCCCACAGAGGACACATCCACATTATACCACAGACAAGCCCACGAAGTATACACATCCACATTATACCACAGACAAGCCCACAGAGTACACATCCACATTATACCACAGACAAGCCCACGAAGTATACACATCCACATTATACCACAGACAAGCCCACGAAGTATAAACATCCACATTATACCACAGACAAGCCCATGAAGTATACATATCCACATTATACCACAGACAAGCACATGAAGTATAAACATCCACATTATACCACAGACAAGCCCACGAAGTATACACATCCACATTATACCACAGACAAGCCCACAGAGTACACATCCACATTATACCACAGACAAGCACATGAAGTATAAACATCCACATTATACCACAGACAAGCCCACAGAGGACACATCCACATTATACCACAGACAAGATCATGAAGTATACACATCCACATTATACCACAGACAAGCCCACAGAGGACACATCCACATTATACCACAGACAAGCTCATGAAGTATAAACATCCACATTATACCACAGACAAGCCCACGAAGTATACACATCCACATTATACCACAGACAAGCCCACAGAGTACAGTCCACATTATACCACAGACAAGCCCACCAAGTATACAAATCCACATTATACCCCATGGAATACAATCCACAGTATACCACAGACAAGCCCACAGAGTACACATCCACATTATATCACAGACACTTGCCAGGTCCGTGGAACAAGAAAAGGAAATTTGAACTTAATACTTGGGAAAGCAGAAGCAAAACAACAGCATTGTGGAGAATACTTATGACTGGAAAACCAAAAAGAATCAACAGAATGATCAAAAGAATTCAGTCAGACAGTGGGGTTGAAAATGATGATATCATCACCTCAGTAGTTTTTATATGATGTGTAGAAAGGAATCTCAAGATCTCATGAGAGAAGCCAATGGAAAGACATATGTTCTGGGATTTGAAAAACTGAACAGCAAAAAGATGTCAATTCTACTCAAGCTAATTTTTAAGTTCAAAGAGATTCCAATAGAAATGCCAGTACATTTTTAGTTTTAACTTGACAAATTGGTCTCAAATTTCATATAAAAATTCATGAGCAACAATTGTGAGAAAAATTCTTAAAAAGACCAACAATTAGTCTGTGGGTAGTTAAGAAACACCATGTATTAAAGCATATAAACATGTATGTGTACAGGCATTTCATTAATTGAAAACTCTCATCTGAAACCCACAGTTATAACATGGACTATTTAATAAATTATGTTGGTAAAGCTGGGTAGCCAGCTGAAAATACAGATCTGGATCCCTATCTCATACCTGGTAACAGTATAAATTCCAAAAGAGTTTAAATATAAAGATAAAAGCATGGAAGTCTAAATAAATTCCTATATAAACTTGAGTTGGGAAAGCCCATGAAACTATGACTCAAATTCCAGAGGCAAAAACTAAAAGGACTAGCCCAACTCATTCAGAAGCTTGGTTTAGCCACTGGCTCACACCTGTAATGCTAGCTACTCAGGATGCTGAAATCTAAGGATCGCAGTTCAAAGCCAGCCCAGATAGGAAAATCCATGAGATTCTTATCTCTAATTAATCACCAAAAAACCAGAAGTGGCGCTGTGGCTCAAAGTAGTAGAGTGCTGTCCTTGAGCAAAAAAGCTCAGGGACAGTGAGTGCCCAGGCCCCGAGTTCAAGTTCCATGACCAACAGGGGGGAAAAAAAAGTTTGTTTTTATCATCTGTTGGGGAGCCTGTGAGGTATTGCTCACACTGGGATATCTTGTGGGCTTTTCTTTTTCAGTTGTGGTATTGGTGGCGTTGTTTGTAGTGATTTTGAGAGAGAATTTTTTTTTCATGTAACAAAAACCATCTTTTCCTTAGGGCTTCTTTCTTGGATGTTATATTGCCCTTATTATATTTGATTTTAAAAATTGCTTTACTTCCTGTTTTGCATTTAATTTGTAAAGACATCTGAATTTAAAAATTTTAATAATGATGAAATAGGACCTAATTTAAAAAAAATTATCCTCAGAGAGTTGGGGTTTGAATACAGGGCCTGGTGCTGTCCATGAGCTCTTTTTTTTTTTCTAGGCTAGTGCTCTACCACTTGAACCTACAGCTCTACTTCTAGCTCTTCGGTACTTCATTGAAGATAAGAGTCTCACAGACTTTCGGCCTGCGCTGGCTTCAGACACAAAGCTGTATCCTTCGAAACGCCCTCTCATCACTGGGTGTGGTGAATTTGAGGCCTATACAACAGGCCTCAGCCTCTTGCGTAGCTAGGATGAGAGGTATGAGCCACTGGGTTTGAATGCTTTAAACATATTCTTAGGTTTATTTCTGTTACAGTGTTCATGCCATACTGCTTGAGCTATGCTGCCATCCCTTTTGTTTAGTTGGCTTTTGAGACAAGGTCTGACTATCTTTGTTAGGGCTGGCCTCCAGCTCAAGATATTTTCGCTCCAGCCTCCTGAGTAGCTGGGATTATAGGTATGTGTCACCGCGCTGAGGCTAAATGGGTTTTGTTTTTTATAATGTATGGAAGCCATCCTTGCACAGGGGCCACGCTACTCTTCTCTGTATCTTTCCACTTTTAGTATTTGAGCTGCTGAGGTGAGCATGGTGGGGGCTGTGTTCAATGATTACTTGGGATATTGTGAACCTTTGACGTTTCCCAGCACACAGCTCCTACAACGCTTGGAATTTCCAGCGATACAGGACGGCTGGCGGCTGGCGGTCTCTGGATCTTCAGGGTGGAGGCTGATCACAGATAGACCCAGGCAAGATCCCGGGGTTGGATCAGCTCCCCAAATGTGGGAGCTTTAAGGAAGGTGAACAAGAACATATCCATGTACTGCGGAGGGGTATACCTCAGTTCTACAAGGATGGAATCTCCGGGGCTGGGGTTCTCCCAGACCTGACCCTCCAAGTCTCTTCTTGTTTATCTGTATCCTTTAAAATGTCCTGTTGTGGAAGTGGTGCTGTGGCTCAAGTGGTAGAGTGCTTGCCTTGAGCTGAAGAGTGCAGAGACAGCGCCCAAGCCCAGAGTTCAAGCCCCATGACCGACCAAAAATAAAATAAAATAAAAGTTTTTTAAATGTCCTGTTGTCACTGGGTATGGTGCACACACCTGTAATCCCAGCAATTTGAGAGAGGCTGAGATGAATTTGAGGTCAGCCTGGCCTGTTAGTAAGCTGATAATGCAAAGTGCTTTCCTGAGTCCTCTGAGCAGCTACTGCAACAAATCAATTGGGCCTCAGAGAGGCTTGTGGAAGCTTGGTGGGTAGAATTGAGCAGGTGCACAGGTGACACAAGCTGGGCCCTGCTACGGGACCTAGAGCCAGGAGGGGGCAGTGTGGGGACCCAGCCCTCACCTGGGATCTGACCAGCACCAGGTAGAAAGCACTATTACTGACAGGATTTTCCAGCTGCTTTGGCTACAGAATTCCTTGTTTGCTGGGGGAGAGAATTCGGGGTCTTCTGAGGTCCCAGGGCTCTTGCCGGCTGTGGTGGGAGAGGAGAGAGGGCTTGCTTTTCTTTACGCCGTTGTTCTAAATTTACATCTACATCTGATAGAGCAAATGCTCTGTTCTTTTCCTCCTTTCCTTTCTCTCACCGACTTGTATTTCCCATGAATATTCAAACCATTTCTTCGGAGGAGAGCCATGAAAGCTTCACTCTGGGTCTTTGCTTGGTGAGGTGAACATCTTTATTCATGGTAACACTTGCTTGCTCACTTTAGACGACATAAAAGGAACTCACTGGAAAGGAAAGAGGAAGCAGTTCTAGGGAAGGTGACAGAAATTTGGGGAGCCTCTGGATGATGGGACCCCGCACCCAGGGAACTGTGTCCATCATCACTGCTAGTCCTTCGGACGGTCCCATAAGCTGAGTCCCGGGGATGAGTAGGGTGGGCAGGGCTCTGTGCTCCTGCCACACTTCCACCACTGATCTGCTGCTGCTGGTGGCATGCTGTTGGTCTCTGGGGAGTACGCACGGGCTACCAATGCTGGGTGGGCACAAAACATATGACAGCCTTGACACGAGTTGTTCTTACTAGAAAGTTCTAGCTTTCCACCCTCCCATTCTCTTCTGTTTCTTCAGATGCTTCTTTCAGACTTGGAGATTTCACACCAAGTGCAATCAGCAAGCTGCTCTGTTGTTGAACTTCCTTTCAAAGGAATCTTGGAAAAAACTTGAAACCAGCTGATGTGAAGAGCGGTAAATATCTTAATTTATTTGACAAATGAGATTGTTGGGACAAAAAACTAAATGTGGTTTGAAAACTTTGAAAGACCAGCTTGAATACATTGGTCTATCCTGGTCTATCTGCTGTGCTGGAAACGTTAGGATCCATAGTAAGAGAGAAATACAAACAAACACACAATAACAAAAATCCCCCCAAATCCCAAAACCAAACCAAACCAAACCAACTAACTAACCAGCCAGCCAGCCAGGGTTCTGAACATCAGAAGGAAAAAGCACTGGAGAGCTATTCATATCTAATTTCTTAAATTTTAAGGAAGTATAGATAAAAATAAAAAAAAAAAACATCCTGGCAAGTAGGATGTCACAGATAAGAGAATATACTAAGACAATTGGAAAAATCAGGAATTAGCTGTCAGAGAAAATCTGAATGTCAAACTGACATTTAATACTTTCTGGTGAAAGTAACAAGCCAATATTGACTATTGCTATATTTCTATTTATAGAAATGGGAAGTAATAAATCCTGTAGATAAAAAGATTTTTAATTTTGAGTTTTTAAATTGCCAATTGTTTGAATAGAAGATTACAAGATTTCAGTGTTTTCAAAGTATAATTTACTTTTGTTTTTCTGTTAAAGTTTATTCATTTAAGATCAGTGTGCTGCATTTTTATATAATTTAGGTAGGTTTTTAAAATGACTGTAATATTTTCCAAAGCGACATCCTGCAAATTTCAACCTCTTATCTGTTAGCTCTAAGTACTCCTCAGAATGAAAAGTGACTTGAGAGTAAAAATAACTGAATATTTCTTAGTATTCTTTGTCAGGTTCACTGCTTGCTGTGAAAGCACATGAAATATCAAAGTGACCAATCTGAAAAGAAAGTCCATTAAATTAAAATTAGTAGCAATGGATTAGAGAGACTGTGTAGAAGTTTGTAAAGACTTGTAAAACATGTTCTAAGAATAACAATTTTAAAACACTTCATAGTGGTTAGAAGATCTGCCCTGGGTTCAAGCCCCAGGACTGACATAGAAAAAAACGTTGTGTGTGTGTGTGTGTGTGTGTGTGTGTGTGTGTGTGTGTGTGTGTGTGTGTGTGTGTATAAAGCTCTTTGTATGATGGCATTAAAATATCTTAAACACAGCCACGAATTCAACTGAACACAAGTAACTTGCTAGGAATTAGTGTATTACTAGTTTTTCATGAAAAGGTAACTGGAAAGTGGTAACAGAATGATTTTAATGCTAAATAATTGGATATACACCAATATTCATTTTAATTTATGGATCAAATTATTATTTCCAGAAGATAAATGTATGGTAGTCAAAACATTATGATATTAATCTTTGATTCAGAATTGAGAAGCATTCTATTATGGTAAAGAATGAAGATAAAATTTAAGCTTTTCTCCCCATTACTAAAATAAAACCTTTATGCAATATTGAACCTTAATCTTTCACTGAAAGATTTCCAGTTGTCTTACTATAGTCACCTGTTGGCTAGCTACTTAAAAACTAATGTTTGCTTTAAAGGGAGAGTAGGAAAGTTTGAATTACTGAGAGAGCCAGGCACCTGTGACTCACACCTATAATCCTCGCTAGTCCTCAGATCTCAGATCTGAGTTTCCCAGTTCAAAAGCAGCCCTGGCAGGAAAGTCCAGAGCACTTAGGTCCAACTAACCACCAAAAAGCCTGAAGTAGAGCTGTGGCTCAAGTGACAGAGGATCAGCCTTGAGCAAAAACACCAAGAGAGAGTACATAGGCCCTGAGTTCAAGCCCTAGCATTGGGTGGAGAAAGAAGGAAATATAATAAAATTTGTGTTATTGAAAGAAGAAATGTCCTCTGTTTAGCTCATACCTGTTAAAAATATTTCAAATTAAATGGAGAAACTTTGTTTTGATAATAATAAATACTTCATATATGCATTAGTGCTTTCCAAATTATTTATATTTGCTAATTCATTTAATTCTTATAGCAATATATAAGGTAGGAATTAATATTATCACTCTTGTTTCCATATATGGGTCTATCCACAATTCTTCAGGCTATTAAAGCACATAGACACACAGGCCTTGGGAGTGACTTCCTCAGCTTCCTGGAGAGAGAACATCTACACACTCCTGAGGGGAAGAGAATATGGAGCGGTGCCCCAAAACAAAACTAGCAGCCAACTTAGGATGCCAACTGTCAGTCCACTGTTAGGCAGGAAGCCTGCATTTGTCTGTTTGTTCATTCGTTTCTTCATTCCCTCATTCATTCATTCTCTAAGCTGTTGGTGGGAGTCTGTTCATTCTCCAAGCTGAAGCTTGTGTGGTAAGCAAGTGCTTACCGTCAGTGAGACCGCGGACGGTCACGGGTTTGCACACCACATCCCAGCACTGTGAGTGGCTCCAGGTGTCAGATGGCCTTCCTGGGCCTGGGGCCTGGGCCTGGGCCTGGGCCTGTGGCCATCCTCCTGGACAGGTCAGGACCCCTACCATCCTAGGCTGAAGCGCTTGCAAAGGACTCTTGTTTCCGCTTCCAATTCTTTCTGCTTGCAGCTGCGGATTCCTCTTAGCAAAGGCAACTTCTCTCCCAGTCAACGTCAGGTGTTTAAAAGGCTACTTTCTGCTCCCCTGTCATCTGAAGTTTGCCACCCAGCTACTTGTACCCCTGTTGTCCAGCCAGGGCCATCTTGTGACTTGGGAAGGAGGTAGGAGATGGAGAAGGCCCACTGTGCAGGACCTCAGCCTTCCTTCGTGGATATGCTGGGAAGGAGAGCGCTCAGAGGTCTGGCCTCATTTACTGAGAACCCTAATGATTTGTCATGCAAAGCTTCCATGTTGCACTGTCTACACTCAGGTGCCATTTGGAATGTGATATGTCATTTCACCCTTGATTCTCACCAAACTCAGTTATAAAATGGAGCTAGACTCTCCTTTGAGGGTTTGGGGAGGAGGTTAATTCAAAAGGCTCCGTGTGTGTGCGCGCGCGCGTGTGTGTGTGTGCGTGTGTGTGTGTGTGCGTGTGTGTGTGTGTTGGTACTGGGGCTCAAACTCAGCACCTAAGTGGTATCCCTTAGCTTTTTCACACAAGGCTGGCACTCTACCACTTGATCCACATCTCCACTTCTGGCATTTTGCTAGTTAACTTTCCTGCTTGGGCTGGCTTTGAACTGCAATCCTCAGTCTCAGCCTCCTGAGTAGCTAGGATTACAGGTATCAGCCACCAGCATCTAGCCAAAAGGTTCCTTTGGAGAAAAGAAATTTCAAAGTTCCTTTGAAATTGCCAAATACTTACATTAGCCAGAAAACACAACAACGACCATGTTAATATTACAAATGAATTCAAAACCCAGCTTTCTCTGTTTATGTTTTTTTCAAAATAACATCAACCTTCTTATTTATCCATATTAGCAGTGTCCTTTATCTGA